AAAATAGCGGGCAGTTTGTTTACGGCGAACACTACTTGCAATAATGGTGTCCTTCGCGGCCCCTTTACATATCAACAAACTCAGACAAAAAAAGAGATATGCAACCAACGAACCAACTGTAGGACCAAATTTGCCCATGCCAAGGCAGGCACACATCCCCTATATTATCTGCGTGGTCCAGGAGGAGGAAGTATAAAGCAGACTGGTGACCGCTCTGACCCTATGCGGGATCCAATGGTCGAACACAGGTGTCTACTTTGGCGTTTATCGTGGAACAATGAAATTTGTTACTACGAATTTTTGTTTTTACAATTTTTTACAGTTTTTTAGTGAGATATAATTATTTTAAATTTTGGCAAATGTTCATATTAATTGAGTGATTACTAAATTTTATATACATTCGCCCCCCTAGAAATAAGTTAACAAAGTTATTGCAGAAATGTATTAATAATAAATCATCATATCTAATCCTTTATCTTCCACCTGTCGGTAAGGACGTGTAAAAACACTAAAAAATGTGCTCTGACATGTAATGTTGTATATTGTTCAGCACACTGTAAAATCGTACAATTTGGATGACACACGGAAAAATCAAGTTTTCCAGGTTGAAATCACTTTACACGTCGATTTTTATTGTACAAGTACGCTTTTTGGATAAACAAAACTTTTTCCGGAAATCGTCATTGAAACAGCATTTCCTTGCGACATTAGGCGCAGGAAAATTGGATTTCCCTGACTAGTACTGTAAAAACTACAAAAATGACGCAAAATAATTAGTTATTTAAACAAGAAAAATTTATTCTAAATTTCGTAAATTACACTATTTACAGATATTAACATTAATTGTAGAATTCGATATATTTGCAATGTTAATTCCAGACAGAGATTTATGATCAAGTTTAACCTTTTTATCAAAAATTTCAGTCGAGATTTCGGTGCAACAGATTTCAGATGAATCACTACTTGTAGAGGGACACGTCTCGATATTAGTGAAGGGTCTTTTTTTCGGACCAGCTTGTATTTTATTAGCTATATCTAATTTATTTTCGATGGACTCTTCTATGTATGCTTCTGCTACTGAACTGCTTTGCCATCCTCCATGCCTTTTTAAGTTGGTAATATCTCCTCCTGCGTCTACTAGTAAAGTCGCGGAACTGCGCCGCATACAATGTCCTGTGTATTCCAGAGGTGTTGGTAGACCAAGGTAGGTAGCAATTTGAGAAGGAAATTTACCAAATGAATGCAAGCCCACTGGTTGGACCGTAGATTTCCCTTTCTTGTAATTTAAAAATAAGCGCTTGTGTGGAGTACTAGGCGGACGTAATTCCAAATAACGTCTGTATGTAGCAAGATTTCTTTCATCAACAACTACAAAGCGTCGAGGTTTTTTTGTTTTAGAATCAGGAATGTGTACTATTAGCACGTTATTTTGATCTTCAATGTCGTCAACTAACATCCTTGATAATTCGTCGCATCGACAGGCTCCAGACACCCCAAAAATAAGCGCCACCTGAAATTACCAAATTTAATAAAACTTAAATATGTAATCATTGTAATAACTTACTTTCATTAATAAAAATTCCTTGTCGGGAGCTTCAAGCAGAAATTTATCTATCTGGTCCCGAGACAAACATTTCGATTTTTTTGGTTGGTAACCAGTCGATTTTCGTTTTAGGTAAGCAGTTACCTTACAAAACTTGCTGATATCCAAATTTTTCTTCAACAAAAGCACGGCTTTCAACATAGAGTAAGTGCTCCAGAGGCTTGAAGCCTTATAAGAACTTGATTTTTCCGCAAAATAAGCCAGAAATACGTCTTCCGTTAGCGAAGTAACATTTTTAAGCCTGCGCCAATCTTCAAAGATTTGGAACTGCTTTTCATACCGCTCCTTAGATTTCGACGGTAACAATTCTTCTGTAGCAGCAGCGGCTGCTTTGCTTAGGTCAAAAGGAACATCCTCACCAGTGTTTTCGCTTGTATTCATAATTAATTAATGAAATAAACACACAGCTCTGACGTACGCACAAAATTTTATAATTGTTTTATTTGTAACCATCGTTTTCAAGAAATTGACAAACTAGATTTTTGCGCAATTAATTAAAAAACTTGTTGGAAAATCTCGATTTTTAGCGATTTATTGCGATTTCCGGAAAAATTTAATACAAAACTCGTCAGTAAAATGTCTTATTTGACTCGGAGCTTTAAAATACTCGGCACAAAGTGCCTCGTATTTCAACATAGCTCCTCTTCAGTAATGAGAGATTTTCCTGACTTTTATGTAAATATCTATTGTTGCTATGGTTTGAAACGTAGTCATAGAAGTCTCAATATATTTCAAATTTTGTCTTTTTTACATGAATTTCATTTTTCGCTTTTTTAATTAATTGTATTGAACAATAAAACAATGTGCAGTCGTAGAAAATTCGACCACTTTGGTATAAAAAAATTTTAGCTATTACTATTTTTTTTTAATATTACAATAGCAATTTGAATGTATGCTCCTGATTTGAAAAACGGAACAGTGATTTTTTAAAGATTATTTGATTTGTCGAACAAAATATTAACAATTAAACCTTATTTTTTTTTAAATATGGGAATGTGTCAAACTTAGTGGTCCAGTTTTTTTACTGCGACTGCACGTAGCTCTGAAGTAAAAGGTTTTATTCCGCTGGTTCAAATTAAACCCCTCATCGCTCGCGTTTCAAACATGAGTTCGATTCGTAAAAAGCTACTTTACTTACTTCGCTACATAAAATATTGTTACGTTTAAGAAATACACTTTTATTTTATATATATGAATGACGCAATTTAAGTTTTTAATTAAAACAAAAATAGTTTTTGTAATTTTAACAAAATTTTTAACACACAGCACTCTTTTTCATTTTGATATACAGGGTGCGTCACTAAGCGGGTGTTCTTCGATATCTCAATAATCATCAGAGATAGAACAAAAAGCAAAAGACCAAAATTGTACGGTTCTTTGAGGACCATACTCTAAAATTGTTTTTAATTATAGAGTGTTTTGTTTTTAAGGCGAAACACACCTTCAGTATTTTTAAGTGAAACATCCTGTATAGTTTTACGTATTGTCATCAGTCTCTTTGAAATTCAGATAAAACGTTGTCTCGTTATTTCAAGGGTTTTCAAAAAAAAATGTAATAAGTTTATTTTTAAAATCTGTCATACAATATTTTGTGGAAGTATAGATAAAGGTACGTGTTTTCTTGTGGTATTAATTTAATCAAATTTTGATATACACACACAGAGAAAAACTAGCAGTAACAATCAACTTTAAATATAGAAAATTCTAAACAAAAAAAAAGAGAACAAAAGATATAATAAGATGCAATCATAGGGTGTTCTGTTAAAGAAAAAAAAAACTGAAATATTGATACCTTTATTTGTCTATCCACAAATTATTGACTTTAAAAATAACCGTATTGCGTTTTTTTTTGAGAAACTTTCCATTGCTAAAAAAATTCAAGAAAATTGGAATAACGTGGTAAGGTCACGTCGGAATTTAAAAAATAACATATGATTCTGTATGGTTAAAGTTATTATTATATTATATATTATAATAATTAATGACATGTCGAAGAACGCGCGCTTTGTGACTCTGATGTTATTAGACAGAACTTTTCCCGTCTTTAAAGTACAATCAGACAAATCCATTATTTTAGTAAAAAATATATAGACAATACCAGTCACAGTGTAGGAAAAAAAGTGATCTAAGAAGGAATCGTACCTGCGACCCTCACTCCAACCAGTTGATATAATAATGATCAGTTGCTTAACGTTTCTATTATATTGTTATAAAATGTTGCTATAATAATAAAAAATAAATAAGTTTCGATTGTTACATTTGTGATTTTCTCTATTTGAAAGTTTTAAAAATAATTGATTAATAAGAACGATTGATACGAAACAAACCTAGTATTTAAAAAAAACCCGTGGTCAATGATTGAATGCATGTATCCTGGCTAGTGGTTGTTTCTTTCAACAATTTTTTTAGATTAAGAATTTTTACATGTAATGTAACTTAATAGTCTTGTTTTTTATTCCTGAGCGTAAGCAAAAGAAATATTATAACCCAGTCAATCGGACGATTTGCCACCCAAGAAATATCCCCTTGTAGTAGGGATACTCGAACAAATTTTAATTAGCGTTTTACCATCTAGATCATATTCCTAAAATTCTCATAAAATTTTGACAACCAGTCCAGCAGGTTATGACTATTAAAAGTATATACAGACGGCAAACAACAGACGAAAGAGACCTTTTTTCACTTTTTACGGCTCCTGAAACACTATTATTAAAAGTTTAAAAATTATGCTCCCTGTTAATAAAAAAACATCGGTTTTAATCAGACTTAGTAAAAAAGTATGGAAGCAGTTGAATATCGCGAGAACGGTTTGTTGAATCTTGTTGAAATTTGGGCTGTTCCTAGGAATACTCTATTTTCTGAATTTTTTTCAAATTTAATACTTCATTAGTTTTTGAGATGTAGGGCTAACTTGATTTTTTTTTAAACCACTATTAGTCAAATGGTCCGTGCATTTTTTCCTGAATTCAGAAAAACCTGTACAAGTTTGCTTTTCAGTACACACTGAGAAATCGATGACAGTATTTTCAAAGCTAACTGGGGTTTTCTATTTTAGAATTTATTCATAATAAATTATTTTTTATTTTATTTGTTGTTTTAGTTAAAAAAGTGTATGCATGTGTTGTGTTAAAAAAAATCAAATTAGCTTTTCATCATGACAACAAATGAAGTTTAAAGTTAAAAAAAATATACAAAATAGAACTTTTAAGTATAGCCCAAATTTCAAGGAGATCCAACTAATCGTTTCCGAGATATTCAACTGCTTTCATACTTTTTAGCACTCCCGTATGTAGTGTAATTAATAAGCTTAAAATGTGTAGCAGCTTGCATTTGAACTTTATAGATTACTGAATTCGTACAGGGACGAATCATCCATTATTTTAAAAGTAAACTCCAATCTTAACTAAGTATTTATTAACTCTCTCTTTCTAAATTACAAAATAAATTACACAATTACCATTATATCTTAGCGCTGCATAATTTATCAGTCTACAGCTTTAAATCTACCCTATTCAAACCCTCAAATTTGGATTGGTGTACCGAACATACTTCAATAAATCTTCATTTTCCTCGCACACGAAAGGCTTGCGATGATGACAAGCCACATCATGCCAGTTGACTCCATCATTATAAAACTGATTAAGAATAGCAATGCAGTTTTCGCTGGCACCTCCTTGTTGGGCTTCCCTGTTATCAGGTTGCGGCTTCCCTATTCCGCCGTTTTCGGACCAATCGTTCTGATCTCTCTGGGTCGTGGGGGCCAACTTTTGCAAAATAGCGGTCCAAAACCAGCCATTAATGGGCAGAGGTTGGAGATCAGCCCTGTCGCAGCCCTTGAAGTCGCACAGGCGGCCGGAAGTCCAAATGTATTTAACCTGTTGAGTGGAATGTGATTACACACAGTGTAGTAGACGAGGAAGGTGGCACTTTATTTGTAATTAGACTCTAATAAGGACGGGTTCAAATACTTTAAAGTAGAAAGTTGAAAGTGAAAACGGCACGCTTCCAAGTGGATGTTAATAAGTGAATAAAATCTTACTTTTTCGTCGACGATACGTTTTTTGATCCATTCGTTTTCAGCACTGGTTTCTAAAGAGACGAGGTCCATGCAACGTTGTCTGCAGTAGTTTCTGCCACCGAGCCAGTCTTCTTGGACGTCTTTAAGGGCGGGGTCACGCCAGCTGAAGAAGTAGCCTTTGCCTGAAATTTATTTATAGTTTTACTCTAGGTGATTCTCCTTTAAAAACATATTTACGTAAATTCCAATTACGCAATGTATGAATTTAGATAATGATTATAATTTAAGATTATATTGTATTGTTTCTGTAAAGTGATATTTTATTGACATCGTCATTTTTCTGCATGATTTTACGTAATATCTAAAAATAGTACTAAAATTGTTCAATTCAATACATAATTCATTACATGTACCTACAAGTATAAAGCGGATTTAAGTGTTGCATTAGTTAACGTGACTATAATACAGTTGTTACAGTGTCCTTACTCACAACAGTAATCCAGTCAAATTAATATTAATTGCAACCTACAATAGTTTAGTTCTAGTATCTTTGTTTAAACCCGTAGGACTTGTGTTGGTAAAAAATCACAGATCCTCTTCAATTTTTCGTGGCTGAACAAATCCTTATTTAACGATTATATTCAAAATTTACTACAAAAGTTTACTATTGGAGATTATTCAAAAATCGCTAATTACTCTTCACCTATTCATGCCCACCATAAACTTGATGACATCGTCTCAAAATTTTGTTAAGTAAGTAAATCTGGTATAAATTATGTATAAAATAATTAAAAAATGGTGAGACTCGACCAGCTTACGTGTGCTCACTGCGCTAAAACCCTCGAAGTTGATTTTTCCGGAATATAAGGACTTCTGTAGGATTGTTATAAATTAAAATAAAATAAACCTAAGTTAAGTCTTATTGACGATTCATTCGTAAATGTTTTTATGAGACCGGATTATTTTAGAAGGGAATATTAAGAAAGCGAGCGTAGCGAGCACGTTTAGACGTTTTAAAAATCACTCGTCAATGTCCCGGAGAAGCTAAATTATTAATAATAGAATTTTGTATTATCTAAAAAGGGTGAATGCTAAAAATGTTTGTGATTATTTGCTAAAGTTGGAGGGAGTAACAATCTAAACGTACTTACTGCGCTCGTATTCTAAGGGTGTGTTTTTTTATGTATAAAGATTTATTCTTACTATAAAACAACTTTGCTGAGATACTTTCCTGCACTCTTCCATGAGAATAAGCTCAAAAACAATTAAAATACGAGCGCAGAGAGCATGTTTAGGTGTAATTTAAATAATAATTCATTGGTGTTCCTGCGAAGTTGTGGAACATGTAACATCAAATTTTTTACAGCCTTGCTGTTCGTCCGTAAATGTTTTTATGAGATTAAATTAATTAAAAAAAACAACAACATTCAGAATGCGAGTGCAGCGAGCACATTTAGGTGTAATTCAAAATTATTCGTTGGAGTCCCTGGGAAGCTAAATTATAAAGAGAGATTTTTTTTCTCTCTAAAAAATTGGTCGAAGGTTAGTGCAGTGTAGTACTAATAATTGTAATATTGTATTTCCAAATTTTTGGGAAAATAGTCCCTGACTTAATCAATAAAATAAATTGACTCATTCATTAATTTTATTAAGCCACTCTGTATAAACAAATCTAAAAAATATTAACGCAGTGATAAATCACAAGCATCATATTTTGTACATTTTAGATAGGTTTTAGTCAGCAAAATTTTGATCTGACGTCATCAATTTTTTGAAGAGTCTAAGTAAACATATTTTGATTAAAAATTTATCATGCCTATTATAACCTTTAAACGTTTGCAATATTTCAAAGCATTCGGTTTTGGAGATTTAAAATTAAATTGCAAAATGCTGTTTTATAGTTTTGATTTTTTTTTCCAAGAATCTGAACGTTTTGGGTAAAAACTCAACACGGATTTATAAACTACACGTGTAGGACCATGTTATTTTATACTACTTAAAACCCATTTACTATGTACAATTTTTGTGCTGACTGCCATCACATTGTTGGTGGGGATGATTAGACAAAGTTTGCTTAGCGTTTTATCATCTACATGATTCATAATATACATTTGAAATAGACAACAATCGGTCTAGTAGTTTCGGAGATTATCTATCTAACAAAAATCGACAGACAGGCACAGACGGAAACTGGAGATCCATTTTTTTTTTCATATTCTAAAGGTCATGACCCTTCGAGAAAATTTGAAAGCAGCAGACTCAATTACAATACTCTGAGCTTACTCTCTGGAAGTAAAAAGTGAATCTTGAAACTGTAAAGTCTAAGATATTCGAACTAAAGATTTGTTTTTTAAAATAATAAGTTTAGAGATTTACTGTTACACGAAACCTAGACAGCTTCGCTGAGATTCTTCCTTTATTACTTCAATGAGATTAAACTGCAAAAAAACAATACTAAATAGAATGCGAGCGCAGCGAGCGTGTGCAAGTGTTATTAAAAATAGTGCACTGCTGTTCCTGATAAGTTAAACTAAGTAATTATTAACAAAGAATTATTTATCATCTACAAAAGAGTGAATGTTAAAAGCAATTGTGATTGCTATAGTTGAGGAAACTTTGACAACCTGAATGTGCCTGCTATACTCGTACTATATGGGCATGTGTTTTTTTTAATCTACAGATTTATTATTAGAACCGAACCCAAACAACTTTGCTAAGTTTCTTTCTTTAATAATTCTGAAACTAAATTTAAAAGATAAGATTTAGAATGGGAGCACAGTGATCATGTTCAGATTTGATCTTAATTTGATCAGTTTTAAAAGAGACTGCATTTTTTTTAAGTCATCCTGTATAAGTAATTATAAAAATATGAATGGATTAATAAACCACAAGTATAGAGTCATAAAATTTTGCAAATTTTAATTATAATTTATTCGACAAAATTTTGAGATGACGTTATCAATTTTTTGGGAGAGTGTAAACGGATAGAGTTTGGTTAACAATTTATTATGCTAAATTACCAAATATTGTCATACAATTTTGCTTTTTTTTTGTTTCAAAAATCTAAATGTCATATGTTATATGTCATTTAAGAAAATCTAAATAGCATTTACCACTGTAAAGTTTATAAATTGTTGGTGGAGATAATCAAACAAATTTTGGTTAACATAGATACAAAATTTGACAACAATCGGTCGGGTAGTCAGTGGTCCGAAGCAGTCAATTAAAATACTTCCTTAACTTACGCTCGAGGGGTAACAATAGTGAATGTTCAGTTAATTTTATTGATTAAATTGAAAACGGTTTACCTAATTTTCCCAATGTTTTGGGTATGCAATTATATTGTACTAAAAGTTGAAGACGTCATCAGAATTCATAAATTCTTAGACTTGAAGATAGATACGAAGACAAATTACCAGTTTTTGTGTTCATTCGATAAGTAATACACTGCTTTTTTATTAGCACTTTGAGTTGAGATTTTCAAAGTGACATAATTTATTAGAAGAAATTCATGTCGATGCGTATATTTTAAAGTAGGATAAAACATTAGACACAGTAATTTATAATACCGAATGATTACATGTAGAAAGCGACCCACACACATTTTGAATTTCGATAACTAAATAAATCTGACAAAAACATCAGGACATAACGAATTTTTTCCAAACCTTGAAAGTTTTTGATTTATCGTACATAATTCGGTGATAATATCGGACAAGCAACATAATTTGTAATTGAGTCATCTTTGGAACTGAAACCGTGTGTTTTCTCGGAAAATCTTTAACACTGCGTCACAGAAAAGTTGTAAAGACGAATTGCAGCTTTCAGGTTTTCCCAACGTTTCATGATTCCTAGAGTACGAAAAAGTAGATCTGCCGTTGTGTCACTTTTTATTATGCAGATAATTTGCGGACCTACTGTACCGATTGCTGTCAAATTTTTTATGTACGTTTGAAATATCATGTAGATGGTACAACGCTAACTAAAAATTGTCTAATCATCCCCACCAACAATGGGATGACGTCATTTCCAAAATTCAGGATAGTAAATATTATTTAAATTTTATAAAATAAGATACTTCTGCACTCATGGTTCATGAATTTCTATTGAGTTTGTACCCTAAACATACAGATTAAAAAATAAAAAATAAAAATGAATAACAATATTTTACAATTTAAACTTGAAATTGCAAAACTGAATGCTCTAAAATTTTGCAAACGTTTTAAGATGATGTTAGGGTTAGTAAACAGTTAATGAGAATTTTACACTTATATACATTTTATGTTTATCAGTGTGGTTTAACACAGCGGCACTAAGTCCTTTCCAAGGATGACTCGATCACAAATTATGTTATTCGCGCGATATAATAATATGATATATGACTAAGTACCACCTTTACGTTTCTGTCAACTACTATGCTCTGTTGAATACTATCTTTTAACTGTTTTTGTCCATGACCCATGGGAAATATTTGCTTAAACTTGAAAATATTTTTCTGTGTGGTATCGTGCACACATTAGGATTCTTAAATCTTAGACCACACCTGAATGCTGAGATTTTTTACCTTCTAATAGCAAATAATAGTAGTATCGTTTCGTGTTGCATTTTTTGAAAGGAACAAACGACTGGAAAATTTGGTTTTGTCACGACATGATGATACACATGGCTCTAAATATTTGCACGTGAACTAGTAGATTATTTGTAACTGAACTACTACAGAAAAATAATTAAAATATATATAATAGTACCGTTTTGAACATATTAATTTGGTAATATATGTAGGTAAGTTAAAGAAATAGTGATTCGGTAGCTCTTTAAATTGACATTATAATTGCTGTAATTCGCTTTCTAGCGTTGGACCATGCAATAAAAAAAACTCTTGTATAATATAATGGATAGACAAACAAGGTTTTATATTATCTATTATACAACAATTAAATGATGGCGACTCATTTAATTGCCTCTTAGAGAAAATCTCATCCTGTTTCATGACCTTAGATTAGACGTCAATGGATTAAAAAAAATGCCAAAAAATTTTACGTACCTACTCTTACAAATTACCATTCATTCGTAGAACTTATAAAAACCTAAACCTAATTAGTAATTAATTAAATGATGGAATTATTATAGAGCTTATTATACTAGTTTGATAAATAAGATAATTGGCACGTAGGAGTCTGATAGATCTAGCCAAAATTCAAAAATCACTGAGGATAAAGGATTTCTAAAATTTGAATTTTTTTGAACGTGTATAACTTTAATATTTTAAACATTCGAAGCACAAATGGTCTGAATTGTGGTAGACTCCTACACACATAAGTTTTACAACAATGGAATTAGTGGAACATGTAACGTACACATTAATCATTAAAACAATGTAGTTATTGTGTGTTTCATGCATGTCTTGCGCTCATTGTAAGTTATCTATTTAGGTCATTAACAGAAAAAATCGTATAGTTTGCTATATAGCGAAGCGAGAAAAAACTGAAGAAAGGATCGTGTACCTTCTCTTCGAAAAAATATATTTTAAATTATATGCTGTAATATTTGATCACATAGGTAGTGTTTGTTCGTTTTTACTTACTACACTTCACTTTTTGGCAGTTCCATTGTGCAATTATTTTTATTATTAACATCGAACACGGGAAGTAGAAATAAAAAAAAAGAATAGGTGTTGTTGTACTTAATTCCCATATTATGAAACATAAATAATGTACCCAAAGTAGAACGTCGCACTTTTTTTGGCTAAGTCATTTATGCAATAACATTTCTTTTAATTTTAAGAACATCTAACATCCAACAATTTAATCCGTCACTCTTTACTGACAGCAATTTTTATTACCGGAAATTTCTTTATTGCAAATTTCAAAATTCAACTAAGAAAATTTGGAAAATTGAGTACTAGCAACACATTTTCAAATTTGACTCATCTAAATCAATGGGGTTATATTCTAGAGGTCTTATTCCACTGAAAAAACTGACTACTTTCCAGAAAGATGTCAAATATAAAATAAAATATTTTGATTCGCGAGTTTTTGAATTCACTCTACAATTCAAGTTCGAGAAATTCTGTATCGCATAAAAGTTTGGCTGGTTAAATTTCAAAAATATTTGTTGATGTCACCATTTTATAGAAGTGACACCCTTATTTGTTTAATAGTTATTTTAAAAAGATTTGTGATTCAGCCAAAAGTTAAGTTGCCATTAACAAGTCAAAATTGTACAAAATAGTTTGCAAAGTCTTTATATGAAAAAAAAAAAAAAACGATTGTACATGCAGAAAGTATCGATTCAAATAAATTATTACCAGAATTATGGCTTCAAAAATTGATAATTAAATAAAAAAAAAATTCTACAATGTGAAGTGTATATGACAGCAAACGACAAGAATTTGCGACTATATTTAACACCATAGTTTGATAAGCTAATATTTAATAGTTCATTAGATATGCACACTTGTAGATAGTTTATTTAAATATTTGAAACAATGATAGGAAATTAACAAAATAAAATTTATCACTTTAAAATGAACTTGATTTTTCTCGTTTCTAATTTTCATAAAATGAAAACATGACAGTAAATTAACGAATCTTATAATACGTTCTACCAGCTTCATCAGAAAGCAAAAATAATTAAACAAAAATAAGTAAAAACGCACCGTCAGGGGTCCTTTCATGGATAATCCTCTGGGAACACAGCGCCGGTACAGGTGGTTCCAGAATTCTTCCATTAGGGAACTGGGCTAGAACCAGCCCGAAAAGGCCCGCAATCAAAACGACACTTTTCATTTTCGACTACAAACACAAAAATTAATAAATTATCAACAATCCTCCAAACGACTTACCGTAAGTGACAAACTTGAAATGAAGCCTAAAAGCCACAAGACCCCTATATATAAGAAGGTGGGGTCATTCGTAGCGAAAGAGAAACATACCGATTACAGGTAGCGTCTTCTTCGCCTTGACCTCTGAATTTCTTGGTGCGAGAATGCAAGTTATGAGCGAGTGAAAGCTGAGATCTTATCGAAAAAATTTGTTTTGAATGAGTTTGTTGGCGACAAGTGTCCCTTGTGGACGAACCTTGGAACGATTCTGGGACACTTTCTCCCTTAAAGTAAAGCGAAAAATATGCCTTTTACAAATATTTGCGTATCGATTTGATGGGACGTGCTGGAAATTGTTGCACGTGTAGGCTACTTTCTTTGAACTTGCTAGCCAAACTTGTGACGTGCTTTCGATTTCGTTCGATGAAATAATTGATGGTTTTACTTTTTTGCTGAGTCGGCGTTAGGAAAGTGAAGTAAACATAAAATAATACTTAAATTGGTGAGCAATAATAAGTGACAGAAATATTGTGGTGATGTCATGGCACTGTCAGGTTTTGCATTTAGGAAAGACATACCGGTAAAATCAGGGTCAAAGGTTGAGTGGAAACATTAATTCAGAACATGCTGTGCGAAGATCCGCAAATTGCAGCAGGAATAATAATGAAGTAATGGACCGTGAACTAATATTCTACAAGTAATAAAAACAAAGATAATCATTATTGTTAATTGTTTTAGCTATTAACATTGAGTGTTCCTATTTAATTCTTGGTTGTAGTGTTCCGCATGAACATGAAACACGACATGCTGTTTTTTGTAACCAATATCAGTTATAACTTCAAACCGGATAAACGAAAGATTTTTACTTGTCGTTACTAGATACTAGTAAGCTATGGAACGCCATTTTCATGTTTTCACCATAATTCCTAGAATGTGGAAAAGTAGGTCTCCCGTTTCCGGCGATAGATTGATCGTTGTGAAACTTTGCATTATTTTAGAATCATAGTGTAGAAGGCAAAATTATTAATATGTGCGAAACAACATACTTTGGTATCTGTGATTTATTATCCATTCTGTGTTTAATTTTAGTGTGCGTGTAGATTTATGGACAAAATTCAAAATTGTACAATTCAATCTATGAATTGCAAAAACTGAATTTTTGCACATGATTTAATGTTATTGAGTCATTGCGTAATGGTACATCACTGTTCATTCTATCCGAAAAATTGATGACGTCATCTCAAAATTTGTTTTTCGTAAATCTCTCTTGAAATCCACGGAAGGAATTTTTAAAACTCTGGCAAGATACTAAGTTTAATATTTTTTAAAACCTGTGATTATACAGATGTTTAAAAAATGACTAATCAATTTTAAAATTCTGGGATTACATATGCACTTAAAAGTCATGTTCTTATAAGACATAACTGTATGAAACAGAAACTAATTTGAATTCATTTTCTTGTCGTCAACTGTAATAATTCTTTTCTGGAATATTCCGCTTTTATTTGTTCTTCAAAAACCGCATTTACTTTTAAACTTACATATGTGTGCTCTACTTACAGCTTTTCAAATTATAATGAATACTTATGGGGAATTACTTCTAATTACCTTTTCAATTGAAAGACAAATGAAATAAATGACCGAGAAAGACATTCTTCACATACCTCTTTCTCAAGTCTATTAACACTTTTAAACTTGTTCGCATATGCCCTTCACATTCATAAACCTGACCGAATTCGCTTTAAGCAATATTTCCGTGATATTGAATGGAAAGTAGAGTATTTTAAAAATATAACAGAAGTTACTATTCAGATAATACAGTTTTACATGTAAATTTTAACTCATAGTTAATTCATGCCATAGGAACTGACAGGGTGAGTCACGGTGTTCGATACATCATACATACATCATACATCTTGAGAAATTTTTAGAAATTTTGAGAAATTTTGAGAAATCTTGAAAAATGTTGAGAAATCTCGAAATCCAGAAACTTTGAAACCTTGAAAAATCTTGAGAAACCCTGAGAAATTTTAATAAATCTTGGTAAATTTTGAGAAATCTTGAGAAATCCCGAGAAATGTTGAGAAACAATGAGAAATCTTGAGAAATTTTGAGAAATTTTGAAAACTTTTGAGAAACCTTGAAAAATTTTGAGAAAGCTCGAAAAACGTGGAGAAATTTTGGGGAAACTTTGAGAAATTTTGTGAAATCTAGAGAAATCTTGAGTAATCTTGATAAATCTTGAGAAATTTTTAGAAATTTTGAGAAATCTTGAAAAATGTTGAGAAATCTCGAAATCCTGAAAATTTAAAACTTTGAAAAATCTTGAGAAACCCTTGGAAATTTTCATAAATCTTGAAAATGGTCGAGAAACCTCAACAATGTTTCGAAGAAGTAGTGAGAAATGTCGAAACCTGAAAACGTTGAGAAATCCTGAAGAATGTTGAGAAATTCTGGGAAATCTTGAAAAAAATCCCAAGAAACCTGGAAAACTTCTAACAAAATCTAGAGAAGTCTTGAGAATACCATGAGAAAATAATTTGGAAAATCCTGAGAAATCTTTAGGAAATCTCGAGGAATTTTTGGAGAAATCTAAGAGAAATCTTGAGAAATCTGGTAATGGATAAACTTTAAGAAATCCTGAGAACTGTTGGGAAATTTTTAGAAGTCGAGAAACCTCTAAAATGCCTTGAAGAAATCTTGAGAAATCTCGAAATCTCGAAACCTGGGAACGTCTAGAATTGTTGAGAAATCCTAAGAAATGTTGAGAATTCTTGGATCTTGAAATTTAGAAATCTGCATATCTCAAAATCTGGAAATGTCAAAATTTCGAAACTTTGAGAAACTCGAGAAATCTTAAAAAACCTCGAGAAACGGCGAGAAATCTCGAACCACGAAACCTTGAGGAAATTTTCAAAAAATTTAGAGAAGTCTTAAGAAATCTTGAGACACTAAGAAATTTGAAAAAATCCTGAGAAATCTTCAGGAAATCTCTAGGAATTTTTAGAGAAATCTCAGAGAAATCTTGTAAAATCTTGTAACCTGTAAACTCACCTCAAGAATGTTTCTAAGAATTATTGAGAAATCTCGAAATCTGGAAACGTCTAGAAATGTTGAGAAATCTTGAAAAATGTTCTGGGAAATCTTGAAAAAATCCCGAGAAACGTCGAGAAATTCTAGGAAATCTAGAGAAGTCTTGAGCATACTTGAGACACCATGAGAAAATTCGAGAAATCCTGAGAAATCTTCAGGAGATCTCGAAGAATTTTCGGAGAAATCTCAGAGAAATCTTGAGCAATCTCGTAACCTGTAAGTTTAAGGAATCCTGAGAAATCGTGAAAAATTTTTGAGAAGTCTCGAGAAACCTCTAAAATGTCTCGAACAATTTTTAAGAAGTCTCGAAAAATCCTGAGAAATCCTGGGAAATGTCGAGAAACTTCAAAATTGTCGTAATCTCGAAACCTGGAAACGTCTAGAAATGTTGAGAAATCCTGACAAATCTTGAGAAATCTCAGAGATATACTCTGAAATCTTGAAAAAATTCCGAGAAAACTTGAGAAATCTTCGAATCTTGTAATTTCGAAATTTGGAAATATTCGGCGTGAAATTCGATTTTTTTGAAATTTCTCAAAATTTTGATATTTCAGTACCTCTTACGATAAAACTGATTTTGGCAAATTATTACTTTATTATAAATAGAAAAAAAGTCAAGGGGCAAAATTGTACCGATCTTTGAGGATTATACATGAAAATTATTTTTAACTATACATCGTGTGTTTTGTTTATAAGGCGTAACACACAACGTTTTTTTAAATAAAACGTGTTATGTATTTTTAGATATTTTGACTTTTGAAATTTCGATGCGACGTTGCCACGTTATTCAAACTTTCTTGAAAATTTTTAGCAATGGAACGGTTCATAAAAAATGGTAGTATGGTTATTTTAAAATTTGTGTTATAATATTTTGTGGAGTAAGAGTTAGAGTAAGTTGCAATAATAAAATATAGGCTGTTCTATCTGAAAAAACTGAATGGTCGATATTAGAAAATTGTAAAGTTTTAGAATTTTTTATAAACACTCTGTATATTAAAATTTTATTTAATTGATACTACATTTATCCTTCCACAAAGTATTGAAAGACGAACTTTAAAAATAAACCTATTGCATTTTTGTTGTGAACTCTTCTATTGCTAAAAAAATTCAAGAACTCAGGATTTCAAAAATAAACTGTAGTTATAAAGCCTAAGAAGAGGACAATGAAGATATGTAAAAATTGGTTGAAGGTTATTTATTCAATTTTTACGAAAAATGATAAAATTTGATTTCATGAACTTAATTTTTTATGAGAACTTTTATAAGCAATAATAAAAAAAATAATAGAATAAAGATATGTATCCCATGTTAGCGTAAGTTTAAAGAGGGAGGACACCTACTTTATATCAATTTGGATAGGGCTGTGTAATACTAATAATAAAAATATTTTATACGTCATCAATTTTTTGGAGGAGATAAAAAGATATACTGTGATGACAGATTTAGCAATCGGTGTTGTAGTTTCTGATATGATCAACAAAATAAGTCACCCTGTATAATCAATTCTAAAAAATGTATGGAATGATAGACCACAAGTATAAACTCATTATGTTTTGCACTTATATCTAGGATTTATTTGGCAAAATTTGAGATGACGTCATCAGTATATAACGGTGTCGTAAACGAATAAATTTTGATTAACAAATTATCACGTTTCCGATAACCTTCGGAATGTTTCAAAGAATTAGGTTTTGTAATTTCTAAGTTAAATTGTAAAATGTTCTTAAGATACATACAATATTTGACAATAGTAGGTCCAGTAGTTTAGAAAACTATCTGTTACGGTAGACGGCAGACAGGCAGACAGAAACAAGATTCGTATTCGAGGGATTATGAAAGGTCCAGAAAACATAAAAGTAGCGAGTCGCCTGACGGAGTCGATTTACCGTGATTACGATAACCTTAAAACTTTTAAGATTTCGAACGTTCGATCTGGATATTTAGGGTACGTTATTTCATAAAATTCAAGTAATATTTACTATTCAAAATTTTGGGGCGACATTATTTGTGAGAATGTTAGACAAATT